TGTGAGTAACCTCTTCAATGGTATAGACTGCAATCCATCAATGCCTGTCTATTCTTTGGGACTCCTATCCATTCTTTACAAAAAGACTGCAACATGGGGTCCACCCAATATGCTAGGGGCTTTCCCTAGTAGCTCCTGACGTTGAGAAGAGACTAATAGAGCACATGGACTGTCCAACACTTATTCCTTGTTTTTTGTTATGTGAGCAGGCCACATCCTTTTCTGTTCATATACTTCTTTGATGACATGCTTTACAGAGGTGTCAAACTTGTTGCAGTCCAAACCAGAGTAAAATGTAACTGGGAAATGTTTAACAAAATAAGTAAAAATGAAATACAACACAGATATCAATTTGTTATTTTTAAGTCAGTATTCAGCCCATAAGAATATGCTTCTGTTTGAATTTGACATCTCTTCTCTTTCATACCTGAGTAGCTAAGTGGTATGGTGGACAGAGTGCTAGGCCTGGAGTCAGGAAGACCTGAGTTCAATCCATCCTCAGACACTTACTAGCTGTGTGACCCTGGACAAATAATTTAACCCTGTCTGCTTCAGTTTCCTCATCTGTAAAATGAACTGGAGAAGGAAATGGCAAACCACTCTAGTATCTTTGCCAAGAAAACCCCAAATGTGGTCATGAAGAGTTATTAGACAACTGAAAACAACTGAGTAACAAAATGTGCTACTGGAGAGGCATGGGTTAGCGACTAGAGAGCTGGCCCCAGAGTCAAGAAGACCTGGGTTCAAGTCAGGTTAAGCCACACATGCTAGCATGTGTGGCTTAACCAGCTGGTGCTAGAGCAACTCTCCAGGACTGATGTGTTGATCTACATGTATGCAGGGAGTTTCTATGTGAGGAACTCTCTAAACTGATGAAATACCAGGTCTGCACCAAAAAGAAAACAGCACATCAACAAAACACAATAACAAGTACCCTGAATGGGCTTCTGTTTCAGTGAGAAGCTTGGTGTTTTTTTAAAAGTACTTTGCAATCTGCCAAAGGGAATCCTGATCACTTTTCTCCTGTTTAGTTATGGACTCAACTCAATGTTCTCTTGGAATATCTGTCCAAGAAATATATATCCACTGAGAATCTTGATAGGCAGATGTTCATTGAACTGTTTAACACAGTCTGAACAATGGGCATTTCCATCCATTTGGTTTTTCCTATTTAGATTACTGGCCCAAATTCTGAGTAATTATAGATCTCACTTAAGAAGCTCTAAAACATTCCAGGGCTTAATACTGTGCAATTAGCACAAAATCCCTAACAAACAGAAGCATCGAGAGCAGGACTTCTTAAACTTTTTCCTCTTGTGACTCCTTTTCGTGTTTCAGCAGCATTCATTGGCTCTCTGTGGGCATGATGGCATGCACAGTGCAAAGGGCACATGTCATGTGTTCAGAACCAAGGCTGCAGTAAAGGTGTGCCAGGCAACACGGGCAAGTGCTGCCAGAAACACGTCGGATTTATTACGTGTTTGATTTTTAATTAATTTTTGGTTGTGTATTCAGAAACCTTTTACTATTGCCAAATTTTTTGCAACTCCATATAGGGTCGCCACCCACAGTTTAAGAAGTGTTGATCTAGAGGACCTCACTATCTCTAGGAAATCCCCATTCAGTTTGGTCTGTGTGCTATATCAATGTTTTATGCCGTATTTGATATTAAGGATTGGCGGACTGAACAAGGGTGATGTTTTTACGTTTCAGAGAATTTTACACATGCATTTGACATATATGTGGAAAATGCCTTGTTGAAAAACAGCTTTTAAGGTCATGTTTCACTTTACCAATTCAAGTGCTTCTTTATAAACAATAAAAAGAGTGAGATTTGTATTCTCCACATTTTTCAATAAATTATATAAAATGGCAACAAAAAAAGAAGTGGGGTGGAATATTACTTGCTAAAGACAATCTGTTTCCTTGTAACATGGACTATTTTACAAAAATTCTAAATAGATGGAAAATAACACATGCATCATCGGTATTCCCTTGATAACTTTTTTCGGGCAGGGGGGTTAGGAGGAAATAATAGTATTCTCTTGGAATAACATCAACAGTTACAGTAACATCGCACTTAATATGTGCCAGGGACTGTGCTAAGGGCTTTGCAAATATTATCTCATTTGATCCTCATAACAACCAAGTGAGGTAGATGAGAGTCATTACTAAATCAGCTCTTTATGTATGGTTGGACCACTAACTTCAGCCTAATATTTTTAGGCCCTTGTCAACTTGGTTGACCTTCCATATGAAACTGTATATTCTGGGTCAATGTTTCTTTTGTCCATAATTTCCCATGCTTTAGTAACAGTTAACTCGTTTAAATATATTACGCTGCAGTTAGATTATATGTATTATCTCTTTTCCCATATTTTATTCTTATTTCTGGCTTTATATTAATTTTGATCTCTGATTTAACAAGTTAGTGGTCGAACCATACATAAAGAGCTGATTCAGGAATGACTCTCACACTAGTAGTAAATAATTTCCTGTCCTGGAATATTATCAAACTCAATTTTTTGTGCTGTTACGTGCTATTCACCATATCAAGTGCTTTTTGGTTCTTTTTTCTTGAAGAAAGTATTCATGACATAGAGGCGTGAAGTATGTGTATTTTACCCATAAGTCTTTGACCTCTCTCATTCCTTACTCCTAAGGCCATATTTTCCAACAATGTGTGATTTGCTTTGGAGAATCTTATCAAGTTCTTTGTTTAATTTCTCTACTTTGTCATCCTCTGCAGCAAATGTTGGTACATAAGCTGCATTATTTACATGGTGGTCTTTTTACAAGCAATCACCATGAGCACTATGAGATGATCTAATGCTTCACGAAATGATGTTTCTTGTTGCCCTTGGAAGCACAATAAAAACCAACTTCTCTCTCTCTGTGAGGTTAGCCTGTAAGCTATACTTCAATTTAGCTGCAATTTCCTTTTGTTTTCTAGTTTACGTGCATAGCAAGAATGTCAACATTAATGCTCGTCAACTGCTCCAGTACTATGTCCACTGGACAAAGAACTCACAATTAATAGTGTCAACAGTCAGCCTAATAAAACTGTTTAACAATGATGTGGTTTTTAACATGCTCTGTCCATCCTTTTCCTGCAACTTAGTGAAAAGCAATAGAGGGGTGCATAGGACTGAAAGGTCATTTTATATTTTTTTTTCTCTCATGGGTTGCCACAATGAAAAGAATTCATTGCCAAGTGGCCAGTCCACGTTTCTGTGCTGAGTAAGGCTGATCCTTGGAAAGCTGTCACAGTGCGTTGCTGAGACTTTCCTTCCTCTAAAGATTTCCAGACTTGGAGAACCTGCCAAAGCTTGTGATCTGCTGGCACAGTTTTCACAAACTCAGGGTTGTGAAGTAGGATTATATTCACTGAAAAAGGAGGGCTACATTTACTTATGTAACTTTCTTTACTGCATTTCTTCCAATGTTTTCATGGGTTGCAGGGTAGGGAAGGGGTGGAGAGAGTGTAATTATAGAACAGAATTAGTTGAGCAATTGGGTCTTAGATCCAATTTTCAGAGCTTCATTAATCTTTGGGATTCTTATCCCTATTTACTAAATATTGGGGACTTACCCAGAATTACAGAGCAATCAAAGCTAAGTGGCCAAGTTAATTGGAATCTATTTCTCTCCCAACATCTCTTCTGTCTGCCAGAAATCCCTCAGGCTTAGAGAAAATACTTTAAGCAAGGCTGGCTCTATTATGACAGAAAGGCAGTGAAGTGGGCATTGGCAAATAGCTTCCAAATTATAGGTTTAGGACTTAAACATCTGTGGTTCACAGGACAGACTTCAGATAAGGTTCAGACAACAGGCACTTACTGAATCCCTAAGCTCAAGTATGGACGCATACTGTAGGGTGCAAAAAGATCAACATTCTCAGTACAGATACACGTGAATGTGTCAGAGATGGGTAAATCTTAACTTAACTAACTTATAGGACACCTAGTGTGTTCTTTTCCTCTACATCAGCCAGTGGCAAAAAGAGAGCCACTTTTAAATTTAATTTGATCTCTCCTGGTAGGGGCAAAACAGTTCTGCTTAGAGACACCTTTGCTGACAGCAATGGTACACATTTCAAAGCTTAAAAATCCCCCAACACCTTCGAGTCTTATATGTATGGGGAAGGAGAGCAAAATGGAAGATGAAAGAAATGTGACAGATTAAGCAAGAGAGAAGAAAATGTGTACATAAATGTGAAACTTTAACAGGTAGCTTACAATTTATAATAGCAGAAAAAAACCCACCAACTTCCTTTGGTCAGGAGGGTTGGCTATGGTGTTTGCAAGATGTTGTGATCTTTAAGCCTGAATGAAATATGACCTAACAGTATCACTAAAATTACTAAACAATAAGGCAATATGCAACCTCACCTAAGCAATTTTATTCAAAACTCTTAGCTTGAGTATCAAAGAGACAGAGAAAGAAAAGATTTTGTTGGAGTAATTTAATAGAAATAATTCTATTGTGATCAAAACCATGAGTCAGATTCCTGGGTAGGTCAGTTAGTTTTGTTATTATTCCACGGCCATAGACTTCCCCCTTATATATGTATACCACTAAGTAGAATGGGGAACCATATGATAAAGTGTGGTGGATAAACTTCAAATCCATAACTGACTAAAAGACAAACTCAAAGTATACATCCTACAGATGATCAGTAGCTTCATCTTTGTAAATGGACAGTAAATTATTTATTTAGCTATTGGATGCCGCTTGGCAATCACTCGATTTAATACAAATTACATTACAGCAAAATGTTAAGCAATTAGCTAATACTAAAGCAGCAACTAAATTGGTAATCTCTTATATCTTAAGGTAGATTTATGCCTAATTTACCAGATATGAACTTTCAGGGGGTAGACTGAAAACCAAAATTCTCAAAGTTTAATAACTATAAGACTTAGGAACAGAACCTATATATAAAAAAGAATACAAAGATACAGTTAATAGATGTGACAGTAAAAATCCTATCATCTTACCCTATCTAGTTCCAGTGTAAACTTCTGGTCCCAAGATTGATTAGAAATGGGTTTCCAGCTAGTTTGACCAACCACGGTATTGTCCAGCTTCAAAACTGCACAGATGTCATCTGTAAGTAAATTTCAAAAACTCAGTTTAAAAAGATAAAATGATTGATTCCAGCAGTAAAGCAGCACTATTCCGCAGATACAAAACTATTACAGCTCTTTGAAAATACTATTTTTACAAGCAAGGTTAATTGGAACTTCAAATCTTAAAGAGCACATTTTAAAATATTCACTCATTCCAAATAATAAATATGAAAACACGTTCACTGTCAAGAATTCTTCTTGTTCCTTCAAGTCTAGTTTAGATAACACCACCTCTTCTGGGAGGCTATCTTGGATGTCTAGTTAGAACTAATCTTTCCTTCCTCAAGTTTTCTATCATCATACTAAATTTTATGTACTGAATTTAAAATTTTTATAATAATTACTTGCATATATGTTTCACCAACCACTTCAAGAATGTAGGCTATGCTGTTTTTCATCTTTTCCTCTTCAGGATCTAGTAGTGTTTTCCATATAGCAGGTATTGAATGCTTGGTGAAATGTACTGTAGGATCACAATATTTAGAACTGGAAGGGATTTAGAGATCATCTAATCCCTCTATTTCATTTTTCAGATCAGAATACCATGGTTCATAGAGAGAGGTAATGAAGTGAACTTTCCTGAGCTCAAATAGGGAGGAAGTATGTAGCCAGGAGTAAAACCCAGATCTTTGGTGATTGTTATCACTGTAATATCACTGTAATTATTTGAAAAATGATGGAAAACAGGACAAGTCCCACTGGACTGAAGAAAGGCAAACGCTGTCCCAAATTTGAAAAAAGGGATAAGAACAGAACCTGCAAATTATAGGCTAATGGGTTTTGATTTTACTTTCTGCGAAAATTCTAGAGCAGATCATTAAAGCAATGATTACTGAACATATAGAAAGGGAAATGATGATTATAAAGAGCCAGCATAGGCAAACATTAGAACACGGCAGACTAAACCCATATTTTTCATAGTATTACTCAACAGATAAGGAGAAAGTTGTAGATATAGTTTACCAAGATTTCAGCAAAGCTTTTGGCAAAGTTTCTCATAATACTTTGCAAAGATGGAGCTATGGATTAGACAAGAATACAATTTTACTGGTTCCAAACTCGCTGGATGGCTGGCTTCAAAGTGTCGTTATTAATGACTTGATGTCAACGTGGCAGGAAGCCTCCAGTGGAGTATTCCAGGAATCTGTGTTTGGCCCTGTGTTATTTAGTGTTCCATCAATAACTTGAATAAAGGCACAGATGGTAAGCTCATGAAATCTGAAGACACTGCAGAGCTTGGAGGGACAGCTAGCACACTGGGTCATACAGTCAGGATCCAAAAGGATCTTCACAGACTGTAGCATTAGGCTGAATCTACTAAGATGAAATTCAAAAGGGACAAATGCCTACATTTACACGGAGCCTATATTTGGGCTAAAAAAAAAAATGAACTTCAAAAGTACATTGTGAGGGAGGCGTGATCACACAGTAATGATTCTGAAAAAGATAATACAGATCATAGACGTAGAGCTGCAAGAGACCTACCAGGCCATTTTACAAATGAGAAAACTAAGGCCCAGGGAGATTCAGAGACTTGCCCAAGGTCATGAAGATCCTTTATGTCTGAGGCAAGACTTTATCCACACCCTCTGGGCTCCAGCTGGTGCTCTTCTAATTAGGGCATGCTGCCTCTCAGTCTGGGGACTTCTGGTGGATTGAGAACTCAGGCTGAGTCAGAGATATGATGTGGAATCAAAATCAGAGGCACGGCTTCCGGGAAACAGGAGGTGACAGTGCCATTGGACTCTTCCCCAGTCCTACATCACCTGGAAAGCTAGGTTCCCTTTCCAGGAGTAAGAGTTGAAGAAGGATCCTGATAAACCAGAGAACATCTAGGATGGTAAAGGTCTTGAGAATAGATTAGATAAGGACTAGCTGACAGAATTTGAGATGTTTAGCTTGGAGAAGAGAAGACTATGAAGGGATGTGATTTTATTCTTCAATTATTTAAAAGAAGGATTCCCTTATTCTGTTAGGGCCCCAAGGACAGAACCAGAAGCAATAAGTGAAAGTCGCAAAATGGATATATTTAGGCTTCTTTAAGTACTGAATGGTGGATACTATGTGCATGGAACTGCATAGACATGAGAATAGTGTCTCTGCCTTCATGGAGATCAGTGAGGGAAATGTAAGAACACTGAATAATTGTAACCATGAGGAAGTCACTGGACCCCTTTGAGTCTTAGTTTCCAGCTTTTAAAAATGAGGATAATATTTGTACCACCCAAGTTACAGGATTACTGTGAGTAAATAATTTTGTAAACCTTAAAGTCCTATAGTAATTTTAATTATTATAAGTGTAGAGAATTAATTACAATATAAGATATACTATCAAAGAACAATGAAGAGATACAGAAAGTATTATAGGGATTTAGAGGAGGGAAACTGGTGGTGGTGGTGATAGGGGTGTTAGGGCAGACTTCAGAAAAGCAATGGCATTTGAACTGGACCTTGATAAAGCAGGAATTGTACAAGTGACTTTTGGGAAAAGTCACTCGAGGTAGAAGGATCAAAGGTACTGAAGTGGGAAAGCATGCCCCATGTTTGTGAAAAGGAATTATTCCAGTTTGGCTGGAATATAATTTTTTGAGAAAAAAGATGATGGTTTTTGAGGGGAAGATAAATCTGACAACTATGTGTGCAGGTGTGTATGTATGTATGTATATGGAGAGAGAATAACACTAGAGGCAAGAAGGCTAGTTATTATAAAAAGTTCACACAAGAGGAAATTAGTACCTGAGATAGAACAGTGGTGATGATAATGGAGAGAAGCAGATATTGAAGAAGTAGAAATAATATGACTTAGTGACAGACAGAATATGGGAGGTAAGAAAGAGGCAGGAATAACACATACATAACATTTATAGAGAGCCTACAATGTGCAATGTACGAAGGAGACCCCAGAGTTATTTAGCAGAGTTGACAGAAAATAGTAATTGTCAATAGAAGAAATAGTTTAAATTCACGACAGAAGTGGGTTTTGGAAGAATGCCACTGAGCTTAGTTTGGGGCATTTTGATTTTCAGATACATGCGAGAAGCATATAATCTTAGACGGAGTTGGAAAATGGGTCCTACAGCTCAGTAGAGAAATTGATGTTAGAGACAGAGTGAATAAACTTACTTATTGATTGGAGCCTTAGGAATAGTTGAGACTGACAAGAGAATATACATACATACAGAGAAAAGTGGGCAGGGGTACAGAATGTTGGTGAATGACAACAATTAGGAAACAAGAAAATCCAGGAAAAGTTATAGACAGAGACAAATTCAACATGCAGTCATTAAGTCTCCACTACATGTCAGTTAAAATGCTATGTGCTGGAAACAAACAAAAAACAGTTCCTGCTTTCAAGGAGCTTACATTCTATTTGGGGGAAACCCAGATTTGAACCTCACCTCTGACATTCACTAGCTGTGACACTGGGTGAGTTGCATAACCTCTTTGAACCAATTTCCTCACTTGTAAAATGAGGCTAATCTTTCACCTACCTCATGAGGCTGTTGTGAGGAATTAATAAGAATGTAAAGTGTTTTGCTAACATTGAAACATATGAACATCTGCTAAAAACAAAGAGAAAGTGGTAAAGGAAGCAGCATCATTGAAGAAAGAGATGTTTCAGTTCAGGAAAAGTCGTGGAGAGCACACTGAGACACAAAGATAGAAATTTGTCCTTTGTATCCACTAACCACAAATGTTTTCATGTAACATACAATGATATGTTCCAGTAGGTTTTTTCTTTAAAATGCGCAAGTAAAAATCACCTTTTGATTTATATCTGCAGCTATTAATGTGAGAAGCCATCACATCTGCCAAAAGAGAATCTGCCTAGACTTCCCCTGGCCCCCTCAACCTCAAGAAACTACCACAAATGACCCTCTTCTAGATGCTATTGACTGTGATGGGAAATCTTTCTTCTCCTTAAGTCCAAATGGTTAAAAGCTGTGTTTTAATATGTCCTTAAAGAGTTTCTTTGGCCCATCTTATGGCTATCACTGCCTTTAATAGCTCACAGTGCTTATCCTTGCCCATTCTTCCAACATAATGGGCTAATCCAGCAGTGAACCCTGCTGCTAGCCAGGGTTCTATCTTTTTATTCCAAATTAAGAGCATCTTATAAGTTACAGGAAACTATTTAAGAGTCACATTCATATAAATTCACAGTAGCTTACATGACTAAAAATTTCAATTTGAAACAATATCTGACGCATTAAAACATGTTGGGGCTTGTGAATCTGTTTTTTTAAAAAACTGTAATTGCGTTTCAATATAATCGATTTCCTTAGTAGTCCTATGTATTTTATTTCATGCATTTAAAAATATCATTCTGAGAAAGGGTTCACAGGTTTTACCAAACTGCTAAAGGAATCCCTGACACACATAAACAGTTAATAATGCCGGCTCTAAAGTCACACTTAGTGTTTATCTTCCAAGAGAAAAACTAACACTTTTGATGTAGTTATTTAATCCCTTCCCTTTTCATAGTCTTTCCTTTTCCACTGAAAATATCAATTGAAGCTGCTCATTCTACTGAATCCCCATTGCCAAAGCCCCGGTCCAAGTTCTGACAATATTATGCTTGGAAACCTTTTTGTCTCCCAAATTCCAGCCTACTCACATTCTCAGTCTCATCACTTTGACTTTGAGATCTTTTTCCTTGCTCCAATGGCTATCTACTTCCCATTATTTTTCAAATGAAAGTGAAATTTAACAACTGCCTTTAAAATGTCCTCCATCCACTAAACATATTTACCAAGAGAGGGCAGTTTTATATTTTTAGTTCAATACTATAATACTACAATCACCATCTTGACTCCGTTCTGGTCATGCATTCTGTTTTTCACGGGAAATTGGCTTATTATAAATCAACACACAAAAAAAATTGCAAGTGCTTACTTAACAGAGTAATTCTACACAAGTTAACTAAAAGACGACGGTTGATCAGTCATAAAGAGGCAAGGGGACTGTTTAACAGGGCCCTAAGTGACTGAATAATCCTATTTAGGATCTTAATGCTCAGGATGCACCAGGAAGAGTCTGGAAAAGGTGCTGAACACATTGCCTTATGAGCATACCATACTTTTTGGTTCTTACCTCTGAAGCAGTTTTGAAAAAAAGTTTTACCAGAACATGTTACACACATAAAGTCAATTTTTAAAATTAAAATTTGTGTTGAATTGTGCTGTTTTGTGCATTGAGAAATCAAGGCAACTTCACCAATTCCTTCTTCCCTGCTCTCACGTCCCTCCTGTGCAGCAGCAATCATTTCTGCCAATTGCTCCTACCAGGAAATCCTAAACTCTGTTATGTGTCATTCTTCTTCTGATATTAGTAAGAGGGTAACAGAGCAGGAAATTAATGTTTGAGACCTAGCTGCCAGATTTTGAACAGGCAGGTTTTAATATGGCTTACATTTTTTTATAATCAGCATACAAGCCACTTTTATACTTTTAATTTTTTTTTCTTGCAGAGCCTTTGAATATGCCCACTTCTTTCTATTCCCTCAATTAAGCTCCTTGTTCATGCCTTTTTAATTTTTAGGAAATTAAGAAAATTAGTTACTGAACTGGACAAGTCATCTGTTTTTAGCAGGTTTCGACTACTCCCACTTTTACTTTTGCTTGTTCTGCTCATGAAGGATGATCTTGTTTCACTTGGACTCCAGCCAGGTAGTGTAACCGATGTTGCTTTTGAACGTCCAGGGACATTCTCTAGTATATCTTGGCAGCCCATGAGCCGAACTTCCAAAGTACCTGTTAATATGAACATGTATATTAGATAAGAACCTCAATCTGCAATGGAAATGCAAAAAAAAAGTTATAACAAAAATGAGTGTTTAAAACAAGGATTTTTATGAATCAATTGTCATCTTTCTTAATAACAACATTAAAGTGGAGGCCACTGATAATTCAATGAAATGAAGGAAGCGGACATGTGGGATTTATATCTTTACCTGCATATCCCACTACACCTCAGTGACATACATTCAAATAAGCTATCTTTTATTAAACTCCTACTATGTACAAATTATCTTTTCCCCAAAACCTTTCCCTCCTGCTAACTTTGTTTCTATTATCATCACCAAAACTAACACAAAACTCTGCTCTTGGCTTGACTTTCTTTGTCCCTCCTATTCAATCAGCTGACAAAGATGCATTAATTCTTTGCTCTGATACCTTAAGTCTGTAACTTTGTCACTCACTGTCACTATTTTATTTAAGGCTTTTATCTCTTGTCATAACCTCTTAACTAGGCTCTCTTGTCTTTATTCTTAGCACTCTCCATATCAGTGTCTGTATAATCTTCTGATTGCATGGGATTCTTTCATTCAAAAATTTTCAGTAGTTCCTTATGTCATACTGAATAAACTTTAAAACTTTATTCTGGCATCCAAAGCCTCTCTATTAATTGTCTTAAATTATATTTCCCACCTTACTCTAGGCACCCCCTTCACATATTTTATTCTGCTTTTCCCTATATCTCATACTGTCTCCCCCAAAATGAACTAAACTCCCTGTTAAAAAGTTTGCCTTTTCAAAATATCCACTTTCATTACTACCTCCATGAAGGAGACACCTTTCCACCCTCTTTCTCTATCCTTCTTCAGATGTTCTTCTATCATTTTGTTTGGATACTCTGCTTTGTACTTAGTGCATGTTTATTTGAATTCGTTTCCTTGTATGTTCTTACAGGGTAGAGACTTTTCTTTGTATTCACAGCACCCAGAAGAGAAATTTGGACACAGAAGCCATTTAATACTTTGGAGTAAACTGAGTAAAAATGAGAACCCTCAGAAGACATACGCCAGCATTTGCCTGAATAGCCCATTACAAATCTATCCAAGGCACTGATTAAGAGTCTACTTGGTGCCAGGCACTAGGGACAGAAAGACAAGAAATGAACAAGTCCCTTCTCTCAAGAAGCTTACATTATTGGAGAAGAGATCCTGCAGTAGACAAAATAAACACAAAGCAATATTTTTAGGAAAGTACTAGGAGTTGGGAGAAATGACGAAGGGCCTAATGTAGAAACTAAGGATTCTAAGAGGCAGAAATGAGGGAGGAAGAAGCGCGTCATTCCAGGTGTGAGGGGCAGCCTGTGCAAAGGAATAGAGACGGGAGACTGTGTGTGAGGAAAGACTAAAGAACATATGAAGAGGTGTAATGTATAAGACAGGTGGAAAAGTAGGTTGGGGATAATCTGTTAAAAGCCTTAAATGGCAAACAGAAGAGTTTCTACTTGATCCCAGAACTAAGGAGAATTCAGCAGGGTTTACTGAGGCAAGGAGACCGACTGGGAGGCTATTACAGGCAATAGTTGATGAGGGCCTAAACGAGGATTGTGGCTATGTGGTGGAGAGAAGCAAATCTATTCAAGAGGTGCTGTGGAGAGAGAATCCACAAAACTTGTCCACTGATGAGGTCAGAGGTTGCAAACCCCCTGATTCAAAGGACAGTAGTATCCTACAGAGAGGTAAAATTGAGAAGGGCAGTGGGGCAAAATATGAGTTTTAGATGTGTGGGTCTGAGGCACTTGTGGGACACCTAGTGAGTATTCAATAGGCAGCTGATAGCGGACTGGAATTCATGAGAGAGACGAAGGCTAGAGATACAGATCTGGGAATGATGAGTGTAGAGACAATAGAGACAGCTAGGAGGCACAGTGGACAGAGAGCTGGATTTGTGGGGAGGTAGGAGATTTTGGGAAGTATGTTTCTTAAAGTTACTAAGAAATGCACAGAGTGGTTTTTGACAGCCTAATTACCCAGAGAACTGCTTAAGCTTCATGCTACATTTTGGTTGAGGGACCACAGACCATAGAGCTGGAAGGGAGTTTGGAAAGCATTCAGTCCAATCCCCTCACTTTACTGTATAGGAAAAGGATTATAAGGAAATGAAAGTCCTAAGTAAAATTCTGATGCATTTTTACTGAAAATATAAAATCGGTTTAATTTAAAATAAACTGAACATCTTGTGTGTTTGTGTGTGTTTCTTTTTTTTTTTCATGGGGGTGGAGAATGACACTGGCAAATTCAAATCATTTCCACTGCAAATGCTCAGCTGATTATGTAGAAGTCATCCTAGGGAAACAAAAAAACATCTGGTGACTACTTCAAGTCTGGTAGCTTATTAAATATTTTAGTAATTTCGATGTATCAGAACATGATAATGTTCAACACCTGCTTTCATTTAGGAAAAAAAATTTAAGGGGCTTTGAGGTCTTCATTAAACACTGCAGAGTTAGAAATTTCTTTTATGAAGTGAGAATATTCCAATGGAAGAGTATCCCTACTTTCCACCTAACATTCACAACTTACAATATTAATTTTTAAAAACAATGCAACCTTAAAAGTGAGTGTTCATAAGCAGCAGCTAGAAGAGCTACTAGCTTGAGGAAATAGTTATGCTGTTTATCCTTTATTGGGTCTGGTGGGTAGTAGAGCTTTTTTTAAAATATCTTGGTATGGTTGAGTAACAACATTTTCAGCTTCAAAGAAGACTGCTTATTGTGCTGCCCAACGACAAGGGTCATCCACTGGAGACAGATGCACCTGCTCTGCCAGCTCTTAACTGTGGGCAATTCCTATTTTGAACAAGCCCAAACCTGCCTCTACAATTCCCTGCTCTGCTCTTGTCTGGCTTTGTACAGCCCGGCAGAACAGTGTAGCTTCCTTGCATGTATCAGCATCCCCAGCCTTCCCTGGGTCTCTTCACAACACTCACCCTCCATACAAGCTGCTTCCCAGTCAAACTGACACAGCAGCTGTTTGGAGACTTTGTTCGGTCTTTTCCTACCTCCATCCCTGCAATGGACTCACAAAATCACTGATCTAGAGTTGGAAGGACCCCAGAAGCCTTCTTGCCCCAAACCCTTATTTTACAGATGAATAAACAGGTGAAGGACATCAACAGACTTGCCCAGCGTCACAGAAGGCAGTGACCAGGAGGGATTTGATCAATTTGAGAGCCAAAGCCTTTTCCCTGTCTGCAGGCTCAAGTCATGAGCTACTTCTTCCATAATGCCATTTCTGACAGCCTCAGAGAAAAATGACCCCTCTTGAATTTCTCATTCCTTTCTGCTGGATGACTCCTATGTAATTATCACATTCAAATTTTTTTACAGTTATTTATGTCTTGTCCCATTGGACTATAAGCTCCTTGAGGGCAGAGACTAATGTTTCTCACTTTTACAACAACCATTCATGTTTATGAAGGAATATACACACATTCAACATATTCATACATTTGTGTCTACAGAATGCACGGCATATTGCCTTAGGGGCAATATGAAGTTTATGCAAAACATGATCTTTGCTCTTTCTGGCCACAATTTTATCAAGGTGAGGCAGCACAGTGGATAGAATGCTGGACTTGGAGTCAGGAAGATCTGAATTCAAATCCATACTCAATGGCTGGATTCAAGTTCAAATAGTCAAGTCACATAACCTATTTGTCTCAGTTTCCTTATCTGTAAAATGGGGATAATAATACCTACCTTCAAGGATTAATGTGGGGATAACATGAGTTAATATTTATAAAAGTGCTATGCAAATGTTAAAGCACTATTACAGAAGTGATAAAAAAGATACATTGGAAGAAAAGAGAGAATAGAAGCGAAAAGACTTCTCAGGAAGCTATTTCAATAGTCTAGGTGATTGGTAATAGGAGCCTAGACTTAGGATGTGGGTAAGTGTGAAAATGGGATATACTGATAAATATTATATAGATAGCACTGACAAGCCTTAGAAACTAATTGGATATGGGAAGTGAAGGAGAAGGACGAACCATAGCGAATAGGGCTGTACATCTAGCAAGCAGTCAGTAAATATTTGTTGAAAAGCTATAGAATTGGAAGGTCACATAGTTCAACTTTCTACCCCAGATCCTACCCTCCTACCATTTCTACCCTCCTAAAATACCTTGGGAAGTAGTTATTTAGTCTCAGTTTGAAAATGTGAAGATACTAATGGATGGAAGTTTTTCACCAAAGCTAGGAAGTTATAGGGAGGCAGAATTCAGACTGACCAAAAAAAAAAAAAAAAAAGAAAAGAAAAAGAGACTTTCTAACAATGAATACTTCACAAGACAGCCTATTCTATTCATGAATAATAAATTTTTTTCTAGGTGAAGCCGGTGGTGCAGTGGATTTTTTTTTTTTTACTACTACTCCTGGAATCAGGAAGTCCTGAATTCAAATCTAGTCTCAGACACCTAGTTGTGTCACCCTAGGCAAGTCATTTAATGTGTCTGTCTTAGTTTCCTCAACTCTAAAACGCATATAATAGCACCTACCTTCCAGGGTTGTTGTGAGGAGTTAATATTTGAGTTCCATGAGTTAATATTTGTTTAAAAAAAAAAAGTGGGGGGCACTTAGCACCATGCCTGGCATATAGTCAGCATTATATAAATGCTTATTCCCTCCTCCACTCCCTTTACAGAAAGACAAAACTTTACTTTCTATAATAGATTAAAAAAACTTTAGTGCTAGATGGAACCTTAGATTTATTCTGATATCACTGTTTTATAGAAGAGCAAACTGAGGACCAGAGAATGTAACCTGCCCAAGGTCAAATAATTAGTGGCAAAACCAAGTCTACACTTTTCAAGAGCTGGTCTGAGATCTGATCTCTGAAGCCATACAAAATAAGTCTGATTTATTCCACAATACTGCTATCACCTTGTTCCCCTTCCTCTCCCTGGGTCTTCTCTTTTCTATGCTAAATACCATGTTACTCAACTATTTCCCACAACTC